CGGGTACCCGGCGGGTAACGGTTCCGAAAAATTGAGAACCGGAACCGGAACCATTCTCAATCGGTTCCCTATTTTAGGAACCGGAACCGGAACCACTCATATCGGTTCCGGTTCCAGAACCACCGGTTCCAAGGCGGTTCCGGTTCCGCAGGCGGGTACCCGGTTCCGCTGCTCACCCCTAAGTACGACCATATAAAGCCCAATAAATACATTAAATCCCAATAAGAAAAGAACCATGAAAGCCCAACTAACATTCATTAAAGCCCAGTAACATCCATTAAAACCCAATAAGACCAAATAAAGCCCAATGGATCCAAATAAAGCACAATAGATCCATTTAAGCCCAATAAAATCCATTAAAGTCCAATGAGACCAAATAAAGTCAACTAAGATCCATTAAAGTCTAATAAGACCAAACAAATCAACTAAGATCCATTAAATCCCAATATATACATTAAAACCCAATGAAATCATTAACGCCCAATTAGATCCATTAAAGTCCAATAAAACCAAATAAAAGCAACAAAGATCCATTAAAGCCCTAATAGATCAACTAAAGCCCAATAAGAACCATTAAAACTCAGCTAACATCTATTAAAGACCAATACGACCAAATAAATCTCAATAGATCCATTGAAGCTTTATAAGACCAAATAAAGCTCAATAGATTCATTAAAGCTCAATTAAACCATTAAAGCCCAATTAGCATACATTAAAACCCAATAAGAACCATTAAAGCTTAACTGACATCCATTAAATCCAAATAGAACCAAATAAAGCCAGTAGATACATTAAAGCCTAATAAGACCAAATAAAGTCTTATAGATCCATTAAATCCTAATAAGACTCATTGAAGCCTAATAGATCCATTAAATTCCAATAAGAACCATTGAAGCCTAATAATATCAATTAAAGCCCAATACGACCAAATAAAGCCTAATGAATCCAAATGAAGCCCAATACACCCATTAAAGTCCAATAGATCCTTTTATGATAATTGGTGACCTATTATATGTTTGTGAGAAGACATGTACTGCACATGTATATGTGGTGTGTATTTGGCTCAACTAAGACCGGTTAAAGCCAAATAAGACCTTTTATAACATATAAATACCAATAATAACAATGACATCGGATTACGTGTTTGTATATAGGTATGTATTGCATACATGTATGTGTGTATTGGACTCAATAAGAAAATAATGATCCATTATACGTGCTATGTGGTATATATGTAAATATTTTACACATACACACACACACACACACACAGACACACACACATATATATATATATAACCTAAACCATGAAAAATTGTGATAACCGAGTTTATCGGTTATAAAGTTTGGGGTTTTTTTTTTAGTATTGATAGAAAGTTGAGGGGTTTTTTTGAAAAGTTCCTTTAATATTATCATCACCCACCGCCTTATATGTTTTTTTTTTTTTTTTTTTTTTTGTAAGGGTGTCCGGGCCAAAGCCCGACTAATCCCCGGCAAATTTGGAGGCTAAACATGGCCCAACTTAAATGTCGCCAACACTCCCCTCCCAGGGCTCGAACTCGGGTTCATAACTATGCCATGCCCAAGCCTTTACCACTAGGCTGGAAGGTCTTTGACAACCGCCTTATATGTTATATGCATGTTATATGATATATTTTGATTCTCTCCTGGGATTTTAAAAAGAAGAAATTGATTTATGTGATTCTTAATCTGAATTTGTTGCTTATCATCTTCATCTAATTGTGTCTATAAGGTGGGTTTTTTATTTTAAATTAGCATTTGATGGTGTTAAATTTTTATGATATTTTATTCAAAAATAAAAACATTACCGTTTTCTTAAAATCACATAAAACCGTATTATATCGACATAGATAAATAATAAAACGACGTTAAAATCAAGATGTATCTTGATACATTGCACAAATACCCTTCTTGTATTAATAAATAAGTTAAATTAAAATGCAACAAATATTTAGGTTAAGACAATGTATATATAATCAACTTACCATTTTCTTCAAATAGCATAATTCAAGAAAAAACCATTTTGAATTTGATATATTAAACTAGCCTATATTGGTTTTATTATTTATAATAACTAGTGTTTGGCATCGTGCGTTGTACGGTAATCATAATACATATCAAGTAATATATAAAAAACTGTGAACAACATCGATATCTTATACTTCAAAACTGAAAATACTAAATTTTCGTAGTTCATTTGTAACCCTTCCAATATCTCAAGGCATCACTTCTCGTTTCATATACTTTACTGTTTTTCAGTAATTTCTTTTCTCATTAATACGGATTAAGATTCAAGTCAAATTCAACCATAATTCATGATTTGAAAATATTAAATTCTAATTTGTCACATCAATATCTTATAGCATTATTTATTAATTTAATTAATTAATTTATTTAACTTTTAATATAGATTTTTTTTGTAAAAAGAGGATTAACCAAAAATCCTATGTTAGGAAGGTCAGCCAGATAAGTTAAGCACCATGAGTTTAAATAATCATTCAAGGGAGTCAGCCCTATGAATTGCCACAGAAACATCTCAATCTTTCTTTATATATCTATCATTTAGTGTCAATCTTTTATCTACCTATTAATATGGGATAGACAAAACTCAATCACAATTCATGATTAAAGAATACTCAATCTTAGGGTGTCACATTGATGGTTGTTCTTCTTACTATTAAATATAGAAATAACATATTATATTATATAATTAATTTTTAATATCGATTAACCCTTCTTACAAAAAGAGAGTTGGCCAAAATGAACCAACCCTATGTGTTCGGAGGGTCAGCCAAAATCTCTAACCACATGTGTTAAAAGAATCAACCAAGAGGAACCAACCTCATGATTTGTCACAAAGGCATCCCGACCTCATTTTACATATCCAACATTTTTGTCAATCTTTCAACTCTCAATCAATGTGGATATATAAAACTCAATCACAATTCAAGATTGAAGAAATATTCAATTATTAGGGTGCCGCATCAACGGTTCCGCTTCTTACTTTCAAAAACATATTAAATTATCTCTTCAATTAATATTTAGTATAGATTAATTTTTTCATAAAAAAAGGTCGGCCAAAATGAGTCAACCGCGTATGTTTAAAAGTTCAGTCAAAATGATCCAACCACGTGAGTTTACACAATTGCTCGTGAGTTTAGACAATTGCTCCAAATATTTAAAGATAAATATGGCTTATATAGCCAAATGAACCTTTTAATTTTCAAAGAGAACTCATATTTCTCTTATATACTCATTTTCCTCATTCACATATCAATTTCCAATCAATGTGGATATCCAAAATCCAACCACAATGCAAGAAATTTAAAATATTTGATTTTAATGATGCCACCTTATTATTTTAAAGCTTTCTTTTGTATTGATATATTGATTTTTTTATATAGACAACTTTTTTGCAAATAGAGAATTCGTCAAAATGAACAAACTCCATGAGTTTAGAGTGTTAGCCAACATGAACCAGTGATATGACTTTATAGGATTAGCCAAGAGAATCCAACCCTGTGAGTTAAAATAATGACACATCAACCTCCTCTTGTATACCTACCATCAATTATCGATCTTTCATCTCTCCATCAATATGGGATACACAAACTCAACCTCAATGCAAGAAATATATAAATCTCAATCCTTAGGGTGACACATTATTTTATGTGAAACTTACTTATATATAGAGAGAGCCTTATATATATATAAATATTTTTTATAAAGATGACTTTTTTGCAAACAAATGGTTGGCCAAAATGAACCAACCCCATGAGTTTGGAGGGTTAGCCAACATGAGTTAATGATATGAGTTTATAGGATTAGCCAAGAGAATCAAACCCCATGAGTTAAAACAAAGACACATCAATCTCATCTCATATATCTCTCTCATCATCCTCCTGGGTCTCCTCGCCGCTTGGCTCTTCCTCTACTTCTTCCGCCCCTCTGATCCGTCGTTGGTGATATTCGGTCGTACGTTCTCGGAGCGTGAAACCCTAGGCCTGTTGATTGTCTCGAGCATCGTCGTGATCTTTCTAACAAATGTCGAATTTGTACTGATCTCCGCTTTGCTTCTTGGAACTGCGGTTGTTTCTGCTGATGGTGCTTTCAGAACTCTAGAGGATCTGTTCCTTGATGAACAAGAGTCTGGTGCTTTCAGACTAAACACAAACAAAAGTTCTAGTACTCATAAACGACATTAAAATCACCACATACCATAAAGTTGACACATCCGTTTAAACACAAACAATATTTCTAGTACTCAAAAACAACATTAGAAATAACCACATACCATAAAAGTTGACACACAAACAACGTTTTTAGTAATCATAAACAACATTATAGAAATCACCAAATACCATAACTTATTCGAATCAAACTCGCAAGCTAGGTGCAATAAACACACTTGTAGACCTTCATGGATCCAACTTGAAAGGAGCAAGGCCAGATGTTCCTTCAGCATTCTTTTGAACCCTCACAAATTCGTCCAAGCTAGTGTCCTTGTATACACAAGGGTTTTCTTCAGATACCAACTCTTTGATCGGCCTGTAAACAACCGGCTCGATCCCCTCATGAAACGGCCGCAAGAAAGCTGCTACCGATATCCTCGGTATTCTTTTTTGTGCCAATACTCTATGATGGACACTTTTGAATTTATTGTTCGTGATGAGCTACGTGTGCAAAAAGATGAAAGTTAGTTCCATCATTTATCGACAAGAAAACATATATTTTCATTTCATGAATGCAACGAGTTAAAGTTTTTCTTATGGTAACATAAACTTGCCTGCAAAAGATCCGCGATATTAACGACTAAAGCACCCGGAAGCGGTGAGACATTAACCCATTGCTTTTGATGTAAGACTTGAAGGCCACCCAATGAATCTTGTAGAACTATGGTCAAGAAACCAGAATCAGTATGGTAGTTTGCACCAAATGTCAATTCTGGTTCAGGACAAGGTGGGTAGTAATGACCCAAGATGAAAAGTCCTTGACCACATCCCAAACTTTTGAGGTGATCTGGTTTTAGACCAAGAGCCTCCGATAACAACTCCAGAAGAGTAAACCCCAATTTCATGATTTGGTCAGAGTACTCAGTTATAATGTTCCTGCATATTAATATTTTTTTAAAGCAAGGTCCGTATATGTAGGAAGAGATAAAAATAAGCATTTGCAGATTAATATTGTTAATATGTATGTCATATATAAAAATGTTACAGTAAGTTTATATGACATTTTATTAAATGTTTTGACATTTGACGTCATATTAATTTTTTTTTATTTGAAAACAAGCGTCTTATTAAAAGAGATGTTTATAGGATACTTTTCTCAAAGTGTCGTATAAAAAAGCGCTTTATTTTAAAATTGGTTTAAGAAACTTGTTACAACATGCAAATTAAACCATCATATATATATTTATTGTAAATTAAACATTTTTGGCGTCCGGTGTTCAAAATTAATAATTACAGTGAACATCGTAATACCTGCAAATTGGGGGAAGTTCTTCAGGTTGAGGGGGTTGAGGAGCCATAACCGACATAAACGTATCACTCCAGGTGGCTGCATCACTTGTAAACAGACGAAAATTGCTGGTATAAGAAAACTTCTTCTGGTAATCACGAGAGTAATACTTGATCTTCTCCTCTGTCTCCATCTCATGAAAACCACGTGCTCCATCAATCATCTCATCCAATACCCTCTGCGGGATCCCATGATTGATTATCTGGAAAAATCCCCAGTTTTCAGCAGCATATCGAACATTTTCCACAATCTTTGCCCGGACGTTGGTTTCTTTGAGGTCTATAATTGGGATATCCACCTGAGTCTGAAGGGTTGATGATTTTGGCTCGTTGATTATGGATCGAGGATGGTGGAAAAAACGAGGGATTTTTGTCAATCCAGCATCGACAAAGCCTTTCACACCGGATTTTGAATCATCGAAAGCTTTTAATTCGGATTCACGATCGTAATTTGATTCGATTGGCACGTTGCTCGCCATACTCGTCTTTGGGTTGACACTCACACTTAAATATTGAAATGTCACATATGAGATTTTAGACAAGATGACAACTTGACAAGGGATATACAAAAGAGGTAGTAGTAATAGTAGGAGGCATATAAGGTCCCATAACATTAAACAATATGTAGTTTTGGGCCCACCATTCACATGGGTACCTACATGCTAAAAACCAAACCCAATTAAAGCTCCCTTTTTGGTATGTTTGGGTCTCTTTTGAAGGGACGTGTAAGGTGGTGGTTAAACAAATTAAAGAAATGATGAATCACAATCATTCTTAAAATGCAATCATGTATATTTTTACGATCAATGCAACCATGTCTATTTGTATATAGGGTATATTTCAAATACTATCATGTCTATTTGTATAATCAATGCAACCCAATCGATTGAGATATTTATAGAAATGATGAGAGTTCATTTATTATGATTTGAATATTTATGGAAGATGAATAAAGTTCATTAATTATGATCAATACTTTAAATTAAGAAAACAATCAAAACTTTTATGAGATTACATATTCATCAAATTAAATGGACGGTTAAGACTGAATTATATTGGTTATACAAATATAAAGGGTTGTATAATAATTCACCTCTATATATATGGCCTTTATTTGAGGATCCAAGGTTTTATGATAATCTTAAAAACTAGTGTATCATGTGTTATTTCACGTAAATTTTTTCTATCTATGGATTGGATTTAGTGTATTCATTAACATGTATTTGTTTCATAATATGTGTTTGTAAAACAAAAAATACAACTAAAAAGTTTCACATTGTGAACCGAACAATATGAAACAAACACATAGTGAAAGAAATATATGTTAATCAATACACTAAATCCAAGCCATAAATTGAAAAAAAAAATATCACGTGAAATAACGCAGGATCCACCTATTCTCAAGTTTATGATATTTTCTTGGATTCTCAAATAATTAGTCCCCTGTATATATCAAATAATGACTTTTCAATTAGTAACTAATATATTTATACATACATATATAGGGTTGGGTTCACGTGAGGTCAAAGGTTTTTCGTGAAACCCGTAAGACCAATTTATGTTCATTGATCAACTTGATAAGCTAATGATCTAATGGTCTAAAGTTCATGATGGCAATTTTGTAATTATTGAGAAGTCTCATG